ATCCCTGGTTGGATCCCTGAAGCTGTGGAGGAACCCATGGTGGATCCCTGAAGATCTGGTGGATCCCTGGGTGGATCCCTGAGGCTCCGGTGGATCCCTGGGTGGATCCTAGATCCCTGAAGCTGTGGAGGATCCCTGGTTGGATCCCTGAAGCTGTGGAGGAACCCATGGTGGATCCCTGAAGATCTGGTGGATCCCTGGGTGGATCCCTGAGGCTCCGGTGGATCCCTGGGTGGATCCTAGATCCCTGAAGCTGTGGAGGATCCCTGGTTGGATCCCTGAAGCTGTGGAGGAACCCATGGTGGATCCCTGAAGATCTGGTGGATCCCTGGGTGGATCCCTGAGGCTCCGGTGGATCCCTGGGTGGATCCTAGATCCCTGAAGCTGTGGAGGATCCCTGGTTGGATCCCTGAAGCTGTGGAGGAACCCATGGTGGATCCCTGAAGATCTGGTGGATCCCTGGGTGGATCCCTGAGGCTCCGGTGGATCCCTGGGTGGATCCTAGATCCCTGAAGCTGTGGAGGATCCCTGGTTGGATCCCTGAAGCTGTGGAGGAACCCATGGTGGATCCCTGAAGATCTGGTGGATCCCTGGGTGGATCCCTGAGGCTCCGGTGGATCCCTGGGTGGATCCTAGATCCCTGAAGCTGTGGAGGATCCCTGGTTGGATCCCTGAAGCTGTGGAGGAACCCATGGTGGATCCCTGAAGATCTGGTGGATCCCTGGGTGGATCCCTGAGGCTCCGGTGGATCCCTGGGTGGATCCTAGATCCCTGAAGCTGTGGAGGATCCCTGGTTGGATCCCTGAAGCTGTGGAGGAACCCATGGTGGATCCCTGAAGATCTGGTGGATCCCTGGGTGGATCCCTGAGGCTCCGGTGGATCCCTGGGTGGATCCTAGATCCCTGAAGCTGTGGAGGATCCCTGGTTGGATCCCTGAAGCTGTGGAGGAACCCATGGTGGATCCCTGAAGATCTGGTGGATCCCTGGGTGGATCCCTGAGGCTCCGGTGGATCCCTGGGTGGATCCTAGATCCCTGAAGCTGTGGAGGATCCCTGGTTGGATCCCTGAAGCTGTGGAGGAACCCATGGTGGATCCCTGAAGATCTGGTGGATCCCTGGGTGGATCCCTGAGGCTCCGGTGGATCCCTGGGTGGATCCTAGATCCCTGAAGCTGTGGAGGATCCCTGGTTGGATCCCTGAAGCTGTGGAGGAACCCATGGTGGATCCCTGAAGATCTGGTGGATCCCTGGGTGGATCCCTGAGGCTCCGGTGGATCCCTGGGTGGATCCTAGATCCCTGAAGCTGTGGAGGATCCCTGGTTGGATCCCTGAAGCTGTGGAGGAACCCATGGTGGATCCCTGAAGATCTGGTGGATCCCTGGGTGGATCCCTGAGGCTCCGGTGGATCCCTGGGTGGATCCTAGATCCCTGAAGCTGTGGAGGATCCCTGGTTGGATCCCTGAAGCTGTGGAGGAACCCATGGTGGATCCCTGAAGATCTGGTGGATCCCTGGGTGGATCCCTGAGGCTCCGGTGGATCCCTGGGTGGATCCTAGATCCCTGAAGCTGTGGAGGATCCCTGGTTGGATCCCTGAAGCTGTGGAGGAACCCATGGTGGATCCCTGAAGATCTGGTGGATCCCTGGGTGGATCCCTGAGGCTCCGGTGGATCCCTGGGTGGATCCTAGATCCCTGAAGCTGTGGAGGATCCCTGGTTGGATCCCTGAAGCTGTGGAGGAACCCATGGTGGATTCCTGAAGATCTGGTGGATCCCTGGGTGGATCCCTGAGGCTCCGGTGGATCCCTGGGTGGATCCTAGATCCCTGAAGCTGTGGAGGATCACTGGGTGGATCCCTGAAGCTCCTGAGGCGCCGGGATCTGCAGGACGTGCTGCCCCAGGCTCCGTGTCCCTCCCGCCGCCGTTTCTGTGCCACTGGATCCAAACCATGCGGGAAACGGGGAAAAATCCTGGGAAATTGGTCAATCCTGGGAAAACCCCGGGAAACCAGTCAATCCCAGTTGGCTCCGTGCCCTGGGATCGCTCCTGGCCAGGGGGGCCACCCTGTCCCCTCCAAGGGGTCACTTGGGGGGGTCGTTCCTGCCAGGACCCCCTCATTCCACCCCCACAGGGAATTCCTGCATTTTCCTTTAAAATCCTGGAGGTTATTCCTTTAAAATCCTGGAGGTTTTTCTTTTAAAACCTTGGAGGTTATTCCTTTAAAACCTTGGAGGTTTTTCCTTGAAAATCCTGGAGATTTTTCCTTGAAAATCCTGGAGGTTATTGCTTTAAAACCTTGGAGGTTTTTCCTTTAAAATCTTGGAGATTTTTCCTTGAAAATCTTGAGATTTTTCCTTGAAAATCTTGAGATTTTTCCTTGAAAATCTTGAGAATTTTCCTTGAAAATATTGAGATTTTTCCTTGAAAATATTGAGAATTTTCCTTAAAAATATTGAGATTTTTCCTTTAAAATCTCGGAGATTTTTCCCTTAAAAATTTCCTCAAAATTCCCGTGTTTTCCTTAAAACTCCGGGGGCGGTTTTGGCGACCCTAAATCCCCCCCCGGGGTTTTTTTGGGGGGGGTTTTTTTGGGCTGACCCCGTGTGTCCCTCCCCAGGTGTCCTGCTGGCCGCGTGCCACGCGCTGGACAACAGCACGGCCGGCCGGAGCGGTGAGTGCCCCGCGGGGATTTTGGGGTTTTCTGGTGCCACCCCTCCTCTTCGGGGGTTACGGGGCCCTGGCTGGGATCCCGGCCCTGACCTCTGAGGGGAAACCGGGAGTGGTTTCCTGGCCCCAAAAAAAGGGGTTCTCATCCCAAAAAAAAGGGGTTCTGGCCCCAAAAACAAAGGGGTTCTGGTCCCAAAAAAAAAGGGGTTCTGGACCCGAAACAAAGGGGTTCTGGCCCCAAAACAAAGGGTTTCTGGCTCCCAAAAAAAGGATTTCTGATCCCAGAAACAAAGGGGTTCTGGCTCCCAAAAAAATGATTTCTGATCCCAAAAACAAAGGGGTTCTGGCCCCCCAATAAAGGATTTCTGATCCCAAAAACAAAGGGGTTGTGGTCCCAAAAACAAAGGGGTTCTGCCCCCAGAAACAAAGGGGTTCTGGCCCCAAAAGGAAAGGTTTTGGCCCCAAAAGAAAGGGTTTCCCTACAAGGAAAGGGTTTCCAGCCCCCAAGAGCCCCTAAAACCCCCTCAGCTCTGGGGACACGGGGACACCCCGGCCCCATCCCAGCCTTCATCCCCCTCCCTTTGGGGCCGCCCTAAATCCAGCCCGGGACCGGGGCTGGGTCGGAAGCGCCTGGATCCCAAAGAATCCCCAGCAGGAAATTCCCGCCGGGGATAACTCAGACCAGGGGGGCTTGGTGGGGTTTAATGGGAAACAGGAGCCCATTCCCGTCCCCACAGGTGTGTGACAGACCCGGGACCACCTGGGGACACCTGGGGACCCCCCAGGACCGTCCCCTCCCCCCTGCCCCGCTTCGGGTCCTTTTTGGGGCGTTTTCCCCTTTTCCCGCCGTTTTCCTGGGTTTTCCCTCGACTTTTGGGGCGTTTTCCCGGGGTTTTTCAAACCCAAATATTTGGGATTTTAACCCAAACCCCCGCCAGCATGGGGATTTATTTTTTTACAGAAAAAAAAAAAAAACCCCGAGCCTGGCTTATTTTTGGGGACAAATCCCAGCTTTTTATTAATAATAGATGAATTTCAATCCCAGGAAACCTCCTCGGGCTGGAGGCACAACCTTAATTTCCCCTCAGTAACCAACCCTTTTGGAGCTTTTCCCTCTGTTCTGGGGTTGTTTTTGGGGTTGTTTTGGGTTTGTTTTTTTTTAGAAAAAAAGTCATGGTTACTCTCGTGTCTTCTGTATATGTTGCACTGAAAGTTAATATTTAATGTTTTAATTTATTTCGCCTGGTTTAAATTAATTTTGATTCCTATAAAGATGTTCTTGTCATCGCCTGGTCTTGGGTTTTTTGTTTGGTTTTTTTTCCCCCCATCCTAAAAACCTGGCTTGGAGTTATTTAAGTGATGTAAAACAATTTTTTTCCCGAAAAAATTCGTGGTTTGGGGTTTTTTGGGGGGGATATTTGGGAAGGAAATGCTGAATCCCAAAGATGGGAGTGAGGGAAATATTCCCAGGGACGGCTGAGCCCCAAATTCCCAAATTTTCATCCCAAATTTACAATCCCTGATGCCCCAGTGATGAACTCAGCCCCATTTTCCCATCATTTTATCCCGAATTTTGAAGCCCAGTTTTGGGATCGGCCCCATTTTCCCAGATTTTCATCCCAAACTTTCCATCCCTGATTCCCCGGTTTTGGGATCAGCCCACCCCGCTCTGGGGCAGGTTTGGGGCGGTTTTGGGGCAATTCCCGTCAGTTTTGGGGCAATTCCCGTCAGTTTTGGGGCAATTCCCGTCAGTTTTGGGGGATTCTCAGCAGATTTGGGGCGGTTCCCGTTTATTTTGGGGCGGTTCCTGTTGGTTTTGGGGCGGTTCTTGTTTTGGGGCATTTCCCGGCAGTTTTGGGGATTCTCAGCAGATTTGGGGCGGTTCCCTGCAGGATTGGGGCGGCTCCCGTTTATTTTGGGGCGTGTTTTGGGGCGGTTCCTTTTGTTTTGGGGCGGTTCCTTTTGTTTTGGGGCGGTTCCTCTTTATTTTGGGGCGGTTCTTGTTTGTTTTGGGGCGGTTCCCGTTTATTTTGGGGCGGTGCCCTCCAGGTTTGGGGCGGGTTTTAGGGCGGTTTTGGGGCGCTCCCCGGCGGGTTTGGTTCTCTCCCAAATGGTCCTGACCCCAAAAAGAGAGTTCTGACCCCAAAAGGACGGTCCTGCCCCGCGGACCTCCCAAAGTGACACCCACGAGGTGACACCAGCAGCTGGCACTTTATTCACCGGGGAGTGACACCAGCCCCGGGGGTCCCTTCCACCCACGGACGTGTCCCCCACATGGATGTCACCAACCCCTGCAGGTCCTGCCACCATAAATGTCCCCAGCCCCTGCATGTCACCAACCCCTGATGTCCCCTCAGTGTCACTTGTGGCGCAGGTAGAAGGCGGTGGCACCATGGATGTCCCCACCATGGGTGTCCCCTGGGTGTCACTGTCACTTGCGGCTCAGGCAGAAGGCGGTGGCACCAGGGATGTCCCACCATGGATGTCCCCAACTCCCGGATGTCCCCAGGTGTCACTTGTGGTGCAGGTAGAAGGCGATGGCACCATGAAGTCCCCCTCATGGGTGTCCCCTGGGTGTCACTTGTGGCAGAGGTAGAAGGTGGTGGCACTGGGGAATGGATGTCCCCACCATGGATGTCCCTGGTGGTGGCACTGTCACTTGCGGCTCAGGCGGAAGGCGGTGGCACCATGGATGTCCCCAACTCCCGGATGTCCCCAGGTGTCACTTGCGGCGCAGGTGGAAGGCGGTGGCACCAGGAATGTCCCCTCATGGGTGTCCCCTGGGTGTCACTGTCACTTGCGGCGCAGGTAGAAGGCGGTGGCCCCGGGCGCCAGGGCCAGCGCCTCGCCCGGGCCCGCGGCCGTGCTGAGGAAGAGCCCGGGGAAGGCGGCGGCCTCGAAGGTGTGCGTGGAGCCCCCGAAGGTCTTGTAGAAGGTGAAGGGCGTGGCCCTGTCCTTGTCACCCGAGAACAGCTCCAGCAGCCCCACGTCCTGCCGGGCGGGGGACGGCAAATGGTGGCACCAAGCGGTGACAGCACAGTGGCCTGGCGGTGTCACCTCGGGGGACAGCCATCTGCAGGTGGCACCATCTCCAGGTGGCACCACCTCGAGGAACCCACACTGACCCAATTTCCAGGTGACCCCATGCCCAGGTGACCCCATGCCCAGGTGTCCCCACGTCCAGGTGACACTACCTCAAGGAACCCACACTGACCCAATTTCCAGGTGATCTCAGCTCCAGGTGTCCCCATGCCCAGGTGACCCCATCTCCAGGTGACCCCATCTCCAGGTAACCCCATGCCCAGGTGACCCCATCTCCAGGTGTCCCCATGCCCAGGTGTCCCCATGCCCAGGTGACACCACCTCGAGGAAACCCACACTGACCCCAACTCCAGGTGACCCCATCTCCAGGTGACAACAACATCAGGTGACCGCACCCCCAGATGACCACACCCCCAGGTGATGCCATCATTAGGTGACCCCGCCCTGGGGAATCCCCACTTCCTGGTGACACCACCTCCTGGTGGCACGGTTTTTGGGATGATGCCACTTTGGGGTGCCCCACCTTGGGCTGACCCAGCCCTGGGTGCCCACCACACCTTGGGGTGACTCTTCCCAGGATGGCCACCTTGGCTTCCCCACCTTGGTGCCCCACCTTGGTGCCCCACCTCTGGGTGCCCCACCTTGGGCTGACGCATTTTTGGGTCCCCACCACCACAGGGTGTCCCCACTTTGAGCTGATCCACCTTGAGTTGATCCAGCTCCAGTCGACCCACCTTGACTGACCCACCTTGCGTTGACCCACCTTGACTGACCCACCTTGGATTAACCCACCTTGGGTGACCCACCTTGGATTAACCGACCTTGACTGACTCACCTTGACTGACCCATCTTGGATTAACCCACCTCAGACTGACCCACCTTGGGTGACACACCTTGGATTAACCGACCTTGACTGACTCACCTTGACTGACCCATCTTGGATTAACCCACCTCAGACTGACCCACCTTGGGTGACACACCTTGGATTAACCGACCTTGACTGACCCACCTTGGGTTGCCCACCTTGCCCTGACCCATCTCAAGCTGTCCCACCTTGGCCTGTCCCCGCTTTGTGTCCCCAGTGCCCCACACTGTGTCACCCCCTGTCCCCCCCATGTCCCATGTGTCCCCCTGTGTCCCCTCTGCCACCCTCGGTCCCCCCTGTGTCCCCGTGTCACCTCCAGGCTCAGCCGTGGCTCGGGGCCGGTGCCACAGGACAGGGCGCGGGTGCCACCGCGGATGCCCACGATGAGGGGACAGCGCTGGCGCTCCAGGTGCCGGTTGGGGACAACGCTGATGGGCTCTGTGGGACACGGGGGTGGCACCGCCGTCACCCAGAGGGACACCCACGGATTGTCACCCCTGTCACCCCCAGAGGGACACCCGGGGAGTGTCACCCCATCCCCACAGAGGGACACCACGGATTGTCACCCCTGTCACCCCCAGAGGGACACCCGGGGAGTGTCACCCCATCCCCACAGAGGGACACCACGGATTGTCACCCCTGTCACCCCCAGAGGGACACCCGGGGAGTGTCACCCCATCCCCACAGAGGGACACCACGGATTGTCACCCCTGTCACCCCCAGAGGGACACCCGGGGAGTGTCACCCCTGTCCCCCCCCAGGGTGTCACCCATGGAGTGTCACTTCTGTCCCCCCCTGGTGTCACCCGTGGATTGTCCCCATTGTCCCCCAGGGTGTCACCTATGGATTGTCACCCCTGTCCCCCCCCAGGGTGTCACCCATGGAGTGTCACTTCTGTCCCCCCCTGGTGTCACCCGTGGATTGTCCCCATTGTCCCCCAGGGTGTCACCTATGGATTGTCACCCCTGTCCCCCCCCAGGGTGTCACCCGCGGATTGTCCCCTCTGTCCCCGGGTGTCACGCACCTTCCTGGGTGGCGTTGGCCCCCTGCAGGCTGGTGGCCACCAGGTGGCCGTGGCGCAGGCACAGCCCCTGCTGCTCCGTGTCCCGCAGCACGTAGTGGTACGGCTGGGCCCCGGGGCGGCCCGCCCCGAACGCCACCGCCATCTCTGGGGACACGGGACACCGGGACATGGGACACGGGACACCGGGAGAGACAGGGGGACACGGGACACAGGGACAGGGGCACAGACAGGTGGGGACATGGGACACGGGGACACCGGGACATGGGGACATCGGGATAGACAGGGGGACATGGGGATGGACAGGTAAGGACATGGGACACAGGGACATGGGGACATGAGACACGGGGACACCGGGACATGAGACACAGGACATGGGACACGGGGACAGGGGCACAGACAGGTAAGGACAGGGGACACGGGGACATGGGGACATCACAGGGACATGGGGATAGACAGGTGGGGACATGGGGACAGGGACATGGGGACAGGGATGGGCATGGGGACATGGGGACACGTGGGGCAAGGACAGGCAGGGACATGGGGACAGGGACACAGGGACATTTGGAGCAGGGATGGGGACAGGGACACGGGGGCACCTGCACCCACCTGTCCCCAGGAAGTCCTCGAACAAGGCCACCATGTCGGGGTCGATGACATTCTCGGCCGTGTCCCCGTTGCCCGACGTGACCCCCGGGCGGTGTCCCCGGGGTGTCCCCCTGCGGGGACAGAGGGGTCAGGGCAGGTGACACCGGGGAGGGAGGGAGGTGACACTGCCAGGCATGAGGCAGGGGACACGCTGTCCCCACGCTGTCCCTGTGCTGTCCCCACTTGTCCCCACGCTGTCCCCGCTCACCTGAGGGCAGCTCTGGACGTGTGTGACATGGCTGGGCCGGCGGAGAAGGTGGCACAGGTGACACCGCGTGCCAGCAGGATTGTCCCCGAACTTGACCCCGTCCCCGGTGGCACCTGCGGATGTGCCACCTCCCGGGATCCTGTCCCTTGTCCTCTGGGCCGTGTCCCCGCGGGTGACAGCGGCTTTATAGGGCCGGGCGGGGCGGGGACAGAGCCCGCCCCGCGAATTGGGCTGGGTGACAGCGACAGTGACACCGAGCCATGGCGAAACGCCACCTCCTTGATGCCCGCAGTCACCGCGGCGGGGATGTCCCCTGTGCCGTGTCCCCTGTGCCAGGCGTGTCTCCAGTGTCCCCTGTCCCATGGTGCCCGGTGGGTGGCCCCTGCCAGGCCCCTGTGCCCCGTCCCTGTGGTGACATCACCTTGTCACCATTGTCACCATGAGTGCTGCCCCCAAGGTGCTGTGAGCACTGTCCCCAAATTCCCACGTGCCCTGGTCCCAGTTTCCCTGTGTCCCATCCCTGTGTCCCTTGTCCCCAAGGCCCGGGGTGCCCTGTCCCCAAGGTGTTGTGTGCCTTGTCCCCATGATCCCATGTGCTCTGTCCCCGTGGTATCCCCATGGTGTCCCTGTGTCCCCTGTTCCTGTGGTCCCAAAGCCCAAAAATCCCATGGCTCTGTCCCCTCTCCCTAAAATGCCACCTTCCCTGTCCCTACTGTCCCCTTTCCCTGTCCCCACATTCCCTTGTGCCCTCTGTCCCCTCGGTGACCTGTCCCTAAAATGCCACCTTCCCTTTCCCTATTGTCGCCCACTCCCTGTCCCCAAGATGCCATGTGCGCTGTCCCCATGGTGACCTGTCCCCAAAATGCCACCTTCCCTGTTGTCCCCCACCCCCTGTCCCCACACCCCCGTGTGCCCCCTGTCCCCGCGCTGTCCCCGCGCTGTCCCCGGGCGGCCCCACCGGATCCGGGAAGGGGCCGCGTCCTGTCCCCATCGCGCGGGTGGCGCAAGAGCGGCCACTCCGCCGCGGTGACACATCCAGCGGGGCCACCAGCCCCGCCCTGTCCCCGCCGTGCCACCCGTGTGCCACCCGTGTGCCACCCACACTCGGGCACCGCGTGGCCTCGGCATCTCTTTATTCCCGCACCGGCGTCCGGGGCGGATGTCGCTGTCCCCAGGGGGATGGCACTGTCCTCGGGTGGATGTCGCTGTCCCCGGGTGGATGTCGCTGTCCCCAGGGGGATGGCGCTGTCCCCAGGGGGATGGCACGCCCCGAAGAAGGGGGGATGGCACGGTCCCGGATGGATGTCACCGCCCTGGGGAAGATGTCACCGAGGAGCGAGGATGTCACTCTCCCTGCGTGAGGATGTCGCCATGCTGGGGGGGATGGCACCTCCGCAGGGGGACGACACCATCCCTGGGGTGAGGATGCCACCCTCCCCAGGAAGATGTCACCGTGCTGGGGTGATGCCACCCTCCCCAAGAAGATGTCACCACCCTGGGGTAAGGATGTCACCACGCTGGGGAGAATGCCACCCTCCCCAGGAAGATGCCACCACCCTGGGGTGAGGATGTCACCGTCCTAGGGGGATGCCACCCTCCCCAGGAAGATGCCACCACCCTGGGGCTCCGCTGTCCCCGCGCGGGGACCGGGGGCGTTCAGCAGAGCTGGAAGTAGAAGTCGAGCAGCTGGGAGGTGACATCGCCGTGGCGACAGAGCGCCAGGGGCTGGTGGCCGCGCGGGGACGTGCACAGGAACCAGCCGGGGTGCGCGGCCGACTCGAAGCGCCACAGCCCGTCCCGGTAGGAGCGGAAGAAGGTGAAGGCGACAGCGCTGTCACCGGCGCGGGGCAGCTCCCGGATGTCCACGTCCTGCGGTGACACCGCCGTGTCACCCGCGGGGACAGCCCCCGGGCGCCGTGTGCCAGCGGCTGGGCACGGTGTGATGTCCCCAGCCAGCAGTGTCCCACCCCTGTGGCCCCCGTGTCCCTGTCCCTCAATGTCCCACCCCTGAGGTCCCTGTGTCCCCAGCTGTCCCCTCCCCATGGCGTCCCATCCCCAAAACTTCTGTGTCTCCATCCTCATCACCACCCCCACAGTGTCCCCGTCTCCTTAGGTGTCCCCAACCCTTTGATGTCACCATCCCTGCCATGTCGCCATTCTCACGGTGTCCCCATCTCCGTCCCCAACCCTGTGATGTCCCCATCCTCTTAGCATGCCTGTCCCTGTCTCCTCGGTGTCCCCCCGCCGTCCCCCCTCTATCCCCTCGCTGTCCCCTGTCCTGTCCCCGCGCTATCCCCGCGCTGTCCCCGTGCTGTCCCCGCTGTGCTGTTCCCTCTGTCCCCGCTGTCCCCGCGCTGTCCCCGCGCTGTCCCCGCGCTGTCCCCGCGCTGTCCCCGCGCTGTCCCCGCGCTGTCCCCGCGCTGTCCCCGCGCTGTCCCCGCGCTGTCCCCGCGCTGTCCCCGCGCTGTCCCCGCGCTGTCCCCGCGCTGTCCCCGCGCTGTCCCCGCGCTGTCCCCGCGCTGTCCCCGCGCTGTCCCCGCGCTGTCCCCGCGCTGTCCCCGCGCTGTCCCCGCGCTGTCCCCGCGCTGTCCCCGCGCTGTCCCCGCGCTGTCCCCGCGCTGTCCCCGCGCTGTCCCCGCGCTGTCCCCGCGCTGTCCCCGCGCTGTCCCCGCGCTGTCCCCGCGCTGTCCCCGCGCTGTCCCCGCGCTGTCCCCGCGCTGTCCCCGCGCTGTCCCCACCTGCAGCCGCAGCCGCGGTTCTCCGCCGGGGCCGCGCTCGGTGCGCAGGCAGCGGGAGCCGCTCCGCACGCTCAGGATCACCGGCAGCCGCGCGGGCTCCAGGGCGCGGTTGGGCACCCAGAACACCTTCTCTGCAGGTGACACGGGGACCTCAGCGCGCGTCCCCGCGCGTCCCCGCCGTGTCCCCGCGGTGTCCCCGTGTCACCTTCCAGCGCGGCGTTGGCGCCCTGCAGGTGCCCGGCCAGCAGCTGCTCGTCGCGCAGGTACAGCGAGCGCTGGTTCACGTCCCACAGCCTGCCGGGCAAAGCGGGGACAGCCGTGCCACCCCTCGGTGCCACCCCTCGGTGCCACCCCTCGGTGCCACCCCCGCTGTCCCCTGCCAGCCCCGCTGTCCCTTACCGGTACTGGAACACCTTGGTCTGCAGCGCGGGCGCGTGGCAGAGGGCGAAGCCTTCGGCCTCTGCGCGGAGGAAGAGGAGGGCGAGGCTGAGGGCGGCCACCCGGAGACCCCCGCGCCCCCTGCCCGCGCCCCCCGAGCCTTGGGGACCCCTCCCGAGGGCACCGGCCGTGCCAGGCGCTCCGTGTCCCCTCCGGGCCGTGCGCGGGGTCCCCGGGCAGCGCTCACCCATGAGACCCCCGGCTCCTGTGACACCCCCGGCTCCGGTGCGACCCCCGGCTCCTGTGACACCCCCGACTCCGCTGAGACCCCCGGCTTCTGTGAGACCCCCGGTTCTGGTGGCCCCCCCGGCTCCTGTGACACCCCCTGCTCCTGTGACACCCCTGGCTCCGGTGGGACCCCGGCTCCGGGCGCAGCGGGCGGCGGCGAGGGAAGAAGGAAGGAAGGAAGAAAGTTGCCGGTGGTGTTGCCACACTGCTGAGAAGGGCGCGCCCCGCCCCCGCCATTGCTCAGCACCCCCGCGGGGTGACAACCGAGGGGACCCATGGCGGGGGGGGGTGACAGCGCGACACGCAGCAGGGACACCGCGACGCCCATGGCGGTTGCGGCGGGGCTCGAACCCCCGGTTTCTGGAGCCAGAGAGCAGCGCCCTCCCCGCTGCGCCACAGCGGCGGAGGGCGCGCATGCGCGCTGCGGAAGCGGCGGGAAGCGCGCAGGGGCGGCGTGGGGAGCGCTGAGTGGCCGTGGGTGTTGCGCATGCGCAGAGCGAGGCGCGAAGCCGCGAGGGACGGGCCGGGCACTGAGGGCAGCACTGCGCGTGCGCTGAGTGTGCGGCGCGTGCGCGCTGAGCCGGGCGAGGAGCTGGCGCACGCGCAGAGCGCCCCCGGCGGGAGGGCAGGAGGAACCATGGCGGCGCTGTGGGAAGCGCTGAGGGCGGCGATGGCCGCGGTGCTGCTGCTGGGCTGGGGCGCGCACGGGCTCTACTTCCACATCGGAGAGACCGAGAAGCGCTGCTTCATCGAGGAGATCCCCGACGAGACCATGGTCATCGGTGCGGGCGGCGGCGGGGAGAGCCGGGAATGGCGGGGGCCGTGAGGGGGGAACGGGAGAGACCATTCCTGGGCATCCCTTGGGCACGGGGAGGGATTATTGGGCATCCCCTGGGCATGGGGAGGGGTCCATGAGAGGGTTTGGACACCCCCCCGAGGCACGGGGAGGGGTCCCTGGGCACCCCCCGGGCATGCCAGTAGCCATGCCCATGGCCCTGACACTGTCCTGCGGGCACAGGCGGTGGCAGTAGCCATGTCCCAGTGCCCATGGCCCTGACAGTGTCCCCACGTTGGCACAGGTGGTGCCAGTGGCCATACCCCAGTGCTCTGGGGGTGTTGGTGGCCATGCCCTGGTGCCCATGGCCCTGACAGTGTCCCCAGGGGGTGCCAGCGGCCGTGCCCGTGCCCTGAGTGTCGCGGTTGGCACAGGTGGTGATGTCGCGGCAGTACGGCTCCGAGGGGCGCTTCACCTTCACGTCGCACACGCCGGGCGAGCACCAGATCTGCCTGCACTCCAACTCCACCCGCATGGCGCTGTTCGCCGGGGGCAAGCTGGTAATGCCCTGGGGCAGCCTGGCACAGCCCTGTGCCCACGGCCCCTGCCAGCCCTGGGGACAGCCCTGTGCCCACTCAGCAGTCATGCCATCCCTGGGGGCAGCCCTGTGCCCACACCCCCATGCCATCCCTGGGGGCAGCCCTGTGCCCACGGCCCCTGCCAGCCCTGGGGACAGCCCTGTGCCCACACCCCCATGCCAGCCCCAGGGAAGTGCCAGTGCTGGTGCCAGCCCTGTGCTCTCCCCAAGGTTGTGCCAGCCCTGGTGCCACTGCTCATGACGGCTGTGTGCCCTCCCTATGGCTGGCATTGCTGGTGCCATGGTTGGAGCCATTACTGGAGCCATGGTTGGTGCCCTGGTTGGTGCCGTGGTTGACACCATGATTGGTGCCATGGTTGGTGCCATTGTTGACACCATGGTTGGTGCCCTCGTTGGTGCCATGTCTGGTGCCCTGGTTGGTGCCGTGGTTGGTGCCGTGGTTGGTGCCATGGTTGGTGCCATGTCTGGTGCCACGGCTGGTGCCATGGTTGACACCGTGCTTGGAGCCGTGGGTGGTGCCCTGGCTGGTGCCCTGGCTGGTGCCGTGGTTGGTGCCACGGCTGGTGCCATGGTTGACACCATGCTTGGAGCCATGTCTGGTGCCATGTCTGGTGCCACGGCTGGTGCCATGGTTGGAGCCGTGGTTGGTGCCCTGGCTGGTGCCCTGGTTGGTGCCATGGGTCGGTGCCGTGGTTGGAGCCATGGTTGGTGCCACGGCTGGTGCCATGGTTGGTGCCCTGGCTGGTGCCGTGGTTGGTGCCCTGGCTGGTGCCGTGGTTGGTGCCCTGGCTGGTGCCGTGGTTGGCGCTGCCGGTGCCAGCCGCGGTGCCAGCCCGTGCCCCGTCCCGCAGCGGGTGCACCTGGACATCCAGGTGGGCGAGCACACCAACAACTACCCCGAGATCGCTGCCCGGGACAAGCTGACGGAGCTGCAGCTGCGCGCGCGCCAGCTGCTGGAGCAGGTGGAGCAGATCCAGAAGGAGCAGAACTACCAGAGGGTCAGCGGGGCCAGACCGCGCGCTCTGGGGTCGCTGGGGGATTTGGGGGCACTCCGGGGGGTTTTGGGGTGAGTCTGCGGGCTTTGGGGTCAGTCTGCGGGGTTTTGGGTTGAATTCATGGGATTTTGGCGTGAATTTTTTGGGTTTTGGTGTGAATTGTTGGGGTTTCAGTGTGGATTTTTGGGATTTTGGGGTGAATCGGAGTTTCAGTGTGGATTTTTGGGATTTTGGGGTGAATCCTTGGGGTTTCATTGGGAGTTTTTGGGGTGTTTCGGTACCGCGAGGAGCGGTTCCGCATGACCAGCGAGAGCACCAAGCAGCCAGTCTGTGGGGTTTGGGGGGGATTTATGGGATTTTGGGGTGAATCTCTGGGGTTCCAGTGTGGATTTTGGGGTGAATCTCTAGTGTTTCATTGTGGATTTTGGGGTGAATCTCTGGGGTTTCAGTGTGGATATTGGGATGAATCTGTGGGGTTTGGGGGGGATTTATGGGATTTTGGGGTGAATCTCTGGGGTTCCAGCGCGGATTTTGGGGTGAATCTCTGGGGTTCCAGTGCGGATTTTGGGGTGAATCTCTGGGGTTCCAGCGTGGATTTTGGGGTGAATCTCTGGGGTTCCAGTGCGGATTTTGGGGTGAATCTCTGGGGTTCCAGCGCGGATTTTGGGGTGACTCTCGGGCTGGGTGTTGCAGTACCGCGAGGAGCGGTTCCGCATGACCAGCGAGAGCACCAACCAGCGCGTGCTCTGGTGGTCCATCGCCCAGACCGTCATCCTCATCCTCACCGGCCTCTGGCAGATGCGGCACCTCAAGAGCTTCTTCGAGGCCAAGAAATTGGTGTAGCCCCCCAAAACCCCCTCGGGGGGCACCCCAAAACCCGCCCTCAGCCCCGTGATGGGGGACCCCACCCAGCCTGGGGTGCTGGGGAGGGACCCCAGGGGCTCCCCCAAACCCATCCCACCCACCCCTGGGTGCTGTGGAGGGATCCTGGCTCCCTTCTGGGACCCCCAGGGCTCCCCCAAACCCATCCCACCCACCCTGGGGTGCTGGGGAGAGCCCCCCACTCCCTTGTGGGACCCCAAACCCATCCCGGGGCGCTCGCTGCGGGTTTGGGGTGCCCTGCCTGCCATGGGGGAGAGCAGAGAAGCACCACTCCACAAGGTGGTTTTTTTGGGGGGGAAATAAAGGTTTTTTGGTTCCACCAAGAGGTGTCGGTGCGTTTTTGGGGCGGGGAGGGGGTCCTGGCGCTCCAAGCGTTCAGCTGCCTGCCCAAAGTGCGGTTTCCCCCCAAAAATCAACCCCGGGGGGATATTGGGGTGTCGGGGATGCTGTCAGTCCTCCCCCGCCAGGAGGCGCTGTAAGCTTCCAGCCGCTCTGGGGGCGCTCTGGGCGCACCACCGGAAGTGTCTGTGGGCGGCGCAGCGCGGCCGGAAGTGTGTTTGTGTGTGTGGGCGGCGGGGCCAAGATGGCGGCAGAGATGGAGGAGAAGGGGTTCGAGCACATGGGGCTGGACGGGCGGCTGCTGAGGGTGAGGGGCGAGCGGGGCACCGGGACGGGGTTCGGCTGGGGAGGGCGGGGGCTTGCGGGCAGCGATCGCCGGGGTCCCCGCAGGGGTGAGGGGTCCCGCTGAGGGGAGGGGACGGGGACACTGGAGTCCCTTCAGGGGTGAGGGGACACCGGAGTCCCCCGGGGTGGGGGGACACTGGGGACCGTCCCCATGGGATGGGGCTGTCCGTGGGGTGGCACTGGGGCCGGACGGTCACCGTGGCGGTGACAGCCGGCGCGGTGCCCGCAGGCGGTGGCAGAGCTGGGCTGGGCAGTGCCCACGGCCATCCAGGCCCGCGCCATCCCGCTGGCCATGGAGGGCCGCGACCTGCTGGCCCGGGCCAGGACGGGCTCGGGGAAAACCGGAGCGTACGGGCTGCCCCTGCTGCACAAACTGCTGGGCATCAAAGAGGTACCGGGGCACTGGGGGCACCGGGGGGCACTCAGGGGCACCGGGGATACTGGGGGCAGTGGGGATACTGGGGGCAGTGGGGATACTGGGGGGCACTGGGGGGCACCGGGGATACCGGGGGGCACCGGGGATACCGGGGGGCAC